CTCAAGAAGTGTAACAAATAAGGATCTATTCTTATCTCTGGAACCATCAGTGATGTGTTGACCAAGAGGTATTTAACATGTTTATCGGACTCCAGTGCCGATGTGTATACATTTAACCGAGATGCTCACAGGATACAAGGGGGTGGTTCCCCTAATTACAGAGTCCTGCTCCTCACCCAAAACCAGCCGCTAGCCTGGAGGGGATGCAGGTGGGCGATAAAAGTGCCCCACACTTCCAGAGTCCTGCTTTCAGGTGGGATGAACCCCTCCCTATCTGATTTACAGGTGCATGTTTATAATTACATGGACCAAGTAAGGTAAATTTAGAGCTTAATTATCCTTGTCATTAGAAAGTTACCATAAATCCTCTTGCTGCAGCTTACAGGTCTCTCTGTTCCATTCCTAGTAGACAGAGTGATTCGTTCCCTTTTTCTAACAGCCTTCTACATATTTAAAGACATCACATCTCTGCTTAGTCTCCTCTGAATTTCAATTTGCACAATTTAAAAGTTTACAGTATTCCAGGAGACAAGTGTCAACTGGGCCAAACCAACATCCGCATTCTAGGAAGAAGTTGCAACAAGTAACACAGAAGTAACTCCCCATAGCAGACACACACACCCCCCACACACCCCCCCGAAGGACTGGCTGACCCTCACCTATCTCCCAAGTATTTTTGCTCCCCTAGACTTTCTAACTGAAAGGTATTTTTAAGGTTGGCACACTCACAACTGTAGCTACAACCTTAATAGGAGAGTCAAGGAATTACTCATGTCTAAAAAACAGCTTGAAGCCTGGTTGCTAAGAGGTGAAGCAGCATTACTGCCAGCAGCAAAGTCACCTTCACAGCTGACTATTTCTACTTAGATCGTACACCAAGGGTGAATTCTGATCCCCCAAGTATCCTCACTGCAAGAGCAATACACTAGGACACACAATTGTATGATTATTTATTTCCAATCCCACAAACATACCAGCCATGCAAACCCATTACCGAAAGGAAGAGACTCAGACTCAAAGATATGCTTAATTTTATTTATTACATTTAAGAAATATGAACATCGCAGGATATCTGGTTTACCATCTAAATCCAGTCATAAGCAACAAAAAAAAGTTAACCATGTTTCAAATGAGCATTCTTACAGTCATTCCCCCCTGTGACGTAAAGAAAAGTTTGTTCAGCTGTATTAAATTCTTATGTGTTTGACTACTGAAAAAAAAAATCATTAAAAATGTCTTAACTACCAGGCATCCTGGTTTGTTAATTGTTGGCACTTGTGTTCACAATCAAGCACTCCAGTTGGTTTGTTAAATTTTCCCCTTCTACCCAGAACTGTCTTTGTGGGGTTTTGCATGTGGTGTTTTTTGCTGTTTTTTGTTATTTTTTTTTAAATTCCCTTAAATATCTGGATATGTAAGTTTGTTCAAGTAAGTTAAAAAAATCTAGGGCTGTCTGAGAAGTTCCTGCACTGCTTCCCTTGATAACCCACCTATGGGATAACTGAAGGAAGTTGTTTGCTTTCATTTTTCTGAATCTGATTGAGCAAAAGCTCTTTTAATTCCATTTAAACTGAAAAAGTACAGAAACACTGTCTTCATTTGATGGTGTGCATAAACATTACACTCCATATATAGCAAAAATATCTTTTATTTATAATTTACATTTCCACAAGTGAAAATTGTACATTTTTACATATACCATTTCATTCCATTAAATTTTCACGCATCTACAGAACTCTCACACAATGACACCTGAAACTGTGCAGGCAATAAGGAATTCAAATACAAAAATGTATTTATTAACCAAACAGCAGATGAGGCCCTGCCTCAGTTGAACATTTTTATTTCATATAAAAAGTATTTGCCTTCCAGAGTTAACGCAGCAGCTCTTCTGTAAAAAAAAAAATTTCATACCTCAGTTTATTTAAACAGACTCATCAGGTTCTGTTTTAACATCTGTAGATGCAGGTGTGCTCTCTTCTGCACAGGCAGCAGGGGTGTCATCAGGTTCTTCTTTGACTTTAGGCGAGTCACAGGACTCTTGTGTTTCTTGTTTAACAATGTTCAACATCATATTTAGTGGATTTTCTACAGGAGTTTTGCTGGGAGATGGGGTGCAATCAAATGATGATGTCTGCAAAGGGAAAGTCGATGCAGCATTAACACACATTCAAATAACCATTTTTAGCTGCTTATCCCTTTTACTCTTTTTGAAAATGCAAACATGTTGATGTTTGCACTCAAAATCCAAACTTCTACTTTATCAAGATCCTAAGAAAACAAATTTATTCTCTAATAGCATTACTTTTCCCACAATTACTTTGAAAAGGTTATCACCCAAGCAGTGACGAAATGCTTCACACATTACCACAAATTATTCCCTGTTATTCCTGCATTAAAAACATAACACACACCAATGCCCATTTACTCCATTTTTGCTAATTCCTAAGATTATGCACATTACCCAACAACAAACGCACGATGTGTTTTCAAACCACAGTTTTGCTTTAGTCATGTATGACACACAAACTGTCACAGTACATCACAACAAGAAATACATCTTGGCTAATTCTGTGTTATGGACTTGCCACGCCTTCGAGTCTTTGTCTAGTCATAGGCAAGAGAAAATGGGTAGCACATGCTGAACACATCTGCTCCCTGCAAAGTCAGAGATCAAGTAAACAAACTGAAAGCAAAATGCTTCAAAAATATGAAGACAACGACACTTACATTCTGGTAATCTTCATAGCAAGATGGATGGTAAATCTGAAAAAGAATTGTTATACAATTAAATGCGTTAATTATACACAGGACACAATTTGTTTAGAAAAACAATAGTATGAGCAGGCCTAGTGTGGTGTCAAAGGTAACCAGGAAAAGATTTTGTGTATGTTTATTTAGGAAAAGTTATCATACAGAAGCCTGGTAAGCACTGGGAATTATTCGCATACAGCTGCATACGCAAATAATTGAACCACTATCTACACCCCTATATAGAGATGTTCATTCTTCTTTTAGCATCGCAGTAGAAGGGAAGGCCAGTAAGCCTATACCAATAATACCAGGACTTCATGCACTTCCAAAGGCTGAGATAATTATGTGTTTGGAAGCCAGGAAAACTACCATGGGAATCCTTGAGGAGAGAAAGTGCACTCGGCCCTCCCTTTTTTCCTTTTGCTGGAATTACATAGGGGATTTTTTACCAAGTATCACGTGTAAATAAGATCAGATTACCTTTTCATCTACTCTGATAGCATTCTTCAGATGCCACTCTTCCTCTTCCTCATCCCAATACTGTTCAAATTGCTCTTGGCAGATTTCACAGCTCTGAAAAGTTATGGGAGTAGCAGAGATAAATGAGGTTATTGCAACAACTCACTGAACACTTTTAGATGAAGTATTAACATTTTCAGTGCTTCTGTGCAAAATAATCAACTCTGAGAACAAAGCACAAAAGGTACTTTTTACAATTTAAACAAAGGCCTTCACAGCTAGTTTCTTAGAAGCTTAGCATGTAAAACTAAATTGTAGTTCTACCAACATTTATATTTGATTACTAGACCAATTCATCTACCAAAATACAGATCTACTGGTTACTTTGAGATATTTCTTTGTCCTAATGCCTATATTATACTGAAAAAGAAATATCTGCGTAAAAGTGTCAAAATTCCAGTAAACCCAATTATTATTTGAATGACAAAGAACCATTTCCAGTTCACTTAGTCTATTTACTCATTCTATGGAAGCATTTAACAAATTAACACACTTTCCTCATTTCAATTTTGCTAAAATGATGGAATGCCAGTGGGTGTGGGGTTTTTTGAACTACAGGTGATTTATACTTCTATCTGCCACTGGGAAACAACCATTACATAGACAAATACACCACTTAGGAAGTGGCTGCAAGAACAAGACTTCAGTCTACATGTAGCCCACTGTATGAAAGAATACTGTAAACTTCTTTGTAGTAGTACATCATTCTCAGCATCTGGTCTAATAACAGCAAGCTGAAACTTACCTCAACTGCTCCAGCTGGTCCCGCAGGGACACTTTGAAACTCCTTCTCTTTCGCAGCTTCTTGTGTCTTCAACACAACTTCTTCGTGAGCTTTTTCAAAAAACTGGCTCTTTGCACGCTCCTCTAGATCGGCTATTTCTTCAAATTCAATCCAATCCTGAAGAAAAAGTTTTCATTCACATTCAAACACTGAACACAGAACAGTTTAAAAATAAATAAATCTCAGGGGAACAAAACAAACAAACAGAGAGATCCCAGAAGTACCATATTTAAAAACTCTTACTTCATTAAAACTGAAATGCTCCTCACATGCAACATGAGCACAGTGCACGCTTTCTCACAATGCTACACTTCAAAAAAGCTTCTTCCAGAAAAACACCCTATCCTTCAATTTCTATTCCATTCTCAGTGCGATTGAAACAATACCAGTGGCTTCACACTGCTTATTGTTCATCATATAATTACCTTTTGTGTTTTGACAGGCATTTATGAAAACTACTTGAAATATCTAAGACATCATTGTTTACCAAACGCCAACTCCTGTGACGACATAAATTTCAACTGCAATCCTACAGCACATACATCAGTAAAACACAGAATCCAGCCCGTAATTTATCAAGACACATATGGCATTACTTACTGTTAAACTGTAGTACCATCTTCTGTGTGTAATTTTTCTGCTAACATCTTTTTCTGTCCGGTTCTGACGATAATGCCAATCTAAATGATCCGCATACACATCTGTCTGTGAAGTAGTGAATCTCATTCCACATGAGTAACACTGAATTCCAGTGTACAGTCGATTTATTACACTATCATAACGCCTACAAAAAGGAACAACAACAACAAAGTCTTAATGTTCCTTTGAAAAGAATCAGGTAAGAAGTTTCTCAGTAAGTTGCTTCAGATGCCCATAAGACTAGAGGAAAAGCATGAATCTACTGCAAGGTTAAAGCATGCAGTATAGCTAAATTCTTCCTGATTTTCCTAACACAATCAATTGAAACATTCAAATAACAAACAATGGGCTCATATTAGCTATCAGGACACACACACTAGTGTTGTGTTTCATGCCTATTAGTCATCACCTAATAGTGCATAAAATGATAACGCTTGCTTTTGGCTCAACTTTGCAAACTAACCCAAAGGTGGTAAACTTAGTACTAACAAAGGAAGAAACACCAACTTCAATTCATATTACAACCTTGCTGATTAAGTAACAAGATGCAACTTGTGTAAAGATAAGTTTTCTCAGGTTAATTCTCCCTCTTTATCCTCCCTGAAATTCTCCAAGGCTAACATAAAAACTGCAGGTCCTCTCACAAAGTGACATACAAAGCCCTTGGCTGCCTTGGATTAACAATTAGATACTACTGTGCCATTAGTCTTACTGCACTGTAAACTTATTCTACTATACGCACTGTCTAAGTTCTTCAACTGTGAAGTTAGTGAGGTCTGGGACATTTTGATCTTCATTCTGGTCATCGTCTTCCTCTTCAGCAACTGGCTGGGATGATGTTTCATTCACTTCTAGAAAGCACAAAGATATTATTTTATCAAAATTTCAGTACATCATCAGAAAGAAGTTATGAGCTCCTGAAAGTTATTTTTCTTCAAATAGTAATAAATACGATCTGACTTTGCTAAAATACAAGTCCACAATAGCCAGGTCAGTCATCCTCTAAGATCATTAAAAAAAGCATACAAGATACTGTAAGTCACTGAGAAATTCAGTTTAGGAAAACAGTATTTCACCTCAGTCTTTAGCATTAAAATTCAGTCTTCAGAGACACAGAATATTTCAGGAAGTGACAAGAACCTGATTGTAATCAAGGACAAGTTACCACAGGACAGCACCAAAGACAAAACTGACCATTCTGGATAGCTGAAGCGTACAAATTAGACACGATACTAAGAACTTACTCCATCACATGCACTACATTCCTTCACAAAATCAAAGTTCAGTTAAAAAAAACAAACATGCAGGAGTTCACAAAAGTTCTTACTTAGCTTTACACTTCAGCTGCGGATAAACTGAGTAGTTAGAACATAATGGATCTACATACGTGCTGAAGTGGAATCAGTTTTTGACAGTTTGAGGATCCCTGTTGACAGCAGTTTAGCAAACAATTCATTGACATCAAGCTGCCCAAGGTGGTTATCAGGATATGAATGTGGAAGGGCTCCTAAGGAAAGACATTGACATTCAAGGAAACAAAAGCTCAGCATCAGAAATTTACTTCACTTTTATCAGTGTATTTCACAACACGTTTTTCATTCTGCCTCCTGTTTCTTCCATTTTTTATTTCAAATTATTTATCAACTCTCTTTGCTTTATGTCTAGTCCTTGGCTAATTCTTCCCTTGCCACAGCTTCCTTCATAACGTATTGTGAAGTGCTAAGCTGGCTGCCCAAACACAGATTTCTACTGGATACTGTTTATTGAAATGAAGTTTTTCCCTTATTTTATGCTTAAATATTTCACCATGACCAATCTACTTCATCACCTACTTTAACCATTTATGACTTTTTAGAAGCTTTTCATTACTAACCATTTACATACTGGGAATGTTTACACACCCTGGCAAACAAACCAGACTTAGAGACTGGTACCTTCCAGAAAAGCAGACCAAAGTTGTTTTTTTGGTTTGGTTTGGGTTTTTTTAGTGCAACTACATATGAAAACCACATGAAAATTAATGAAAGCCTTCTCTCTTCGAGGGAAACTCCTGAAGAGATGAAGGTACTACAGAAACCACATCTATGTCCACCTCACTGAGGAGGCTTCCCTTAGTCCACACAGACCTAGCACAGCAGGACATGACAACAGGGTAAATTTTGTGGCCACTAACAAACAGAACAATCCAAAAGAAATAAAAGGAAGTTAATTATTTTCTTACGCACCTGCAGGATTCTGAACAAAACTTCCAGGATTTGGCAAATACTGTTGACCTTGGCCATAAGGCCCTGGTTGAGCAGACATGAGAGAAACCTGTGAAAGTAAACATTTAAGTATTTTTTGTTTAATAATGTGATTATAAACTTACATTTTTAATTTTATCATTAAGTTCTAGATGTTTCTCAATAAGTTTATAAATATTAAACTCCTCCCAGGAGTGAACCATGTCAGTTTGGCATTGAAAGGTCCAGCAAATAACTACATAACCTTTCCCTCGTTTTCACTTCCCACTAGAAAAATTTCAGAAGACATACTCATTTTGCCTAACAGTTAATTTTTTTACAAAAACACCTTTTCTTCTACCTATTGAACCTTCACATTTTCCAAACACTTTCTTTTAATGCGCTCCTGTTCACCAGAATAGAGCTCATCAGAAATTCAAGAAACTGGTAAATGTTTATTAGCAAATGCCACGATCAATTCTTATCTAAGGACTGAAATAGCATCCACTATACAAAACACATCTTGAAAGTAGCATTTTTTTAGTAAAGCAGCTATAGTAAGCTTCAGATGTAATAAAAATGTTTGGTGGGGTTTTTTCCTAAGTGTGTTATAAAAACTGTTTTTCTAATTGGCTGTTTTCTGGATTTACAAATTGTTTAAAATTTTATCCCATTAGAGGTCAGCAGGACACATTACCTACTTTCGTACAATCAGTCAACTCTTCATGTTCAATTATTATTCTCCAAATGAAAAATGCTCTCTAAAATCTCTAATCTACTGAAAAAAAATTACGTCATTTTCACTGATGTAAAGTATCACCTTCCCCTTTTGAAGAGAGCATTTCCAACGGGCAACAGCAAAGACACGTGAACCCATAAAGCATGCTGGTGCGAGATAATTTTAAAAGACGGTAGTTCAACAATGTCCAATGTCTTTCCCAATTCCCCTAAGTTACGGGTATCTCTCTAAAACTGGCTTGTCACCAGTACTAACAGCTGCAAAAAGACAACAGAATTATTTTGGTCCATTCTAATTCTACAGCTCTGAAAAAAGTTAACCATGTATATTCACTTACATTATCTTTCATGCTTTATATAGAATTCACTTTTGTGCAATTTTAATGAAAACACCACAGGCTTCTAATTACCTAGTTTTGTTTTCGAGTTAAAAATACTAATTTCACTGTCATATTCTGAGCTACAAAGTGATTGTAAAGATTCACTATTTTGTCTCATTCTTAAAAAATAGGAATGTAGGTCCTTCTTAAATTGTCTAGAAACTACTGACGGATGACTTTTTTAGCTTGAAACTGGCTCCCAGTCTGCCAGCTCTTCAGAAAAATCTTCGCTTTTTCGAGAAAAGAAAACTGCTCATTCTCTACACAAAAACACTTTCACGAGCAAACCCTTTAACACAATTCATTCTTACCTGATTACTTCCCATTGGCATATTATTGAAGTTTCCATATTGAGGACCCTGAAGACTTTTTTCATCAAAGTAATGTCCAGCTCCTCTCAATGGGAAATTCTGTGCTCCTGGGCCACCTGGCCCATTGAAATTTGGTCCAGGCGAACCATCAAATAGATCAGGCCTCTGGAACTGCATCCCATGAGATGGTCCATTGTAGCCCTGGCCGGGATGGTCGACAAATGGACCACCTTGTCCATAAGACATTTCTAGTCTTGAGGCAGGATGGTTAGCTACATTTTCAAAACGCGCACCTTGAAGGCCAAGGGGCAAGTCAAATCTAGAGGCTGGCTGGTGAGGTCCATCAAATCTTTGAGGTATGGCTGTATCAAATCGTGGTTGTGCCTGTTGGCCAGGCGCCCTTTCAAATCTTGGACCAGGCTGTCCATGAATTCCATCAAATCTTTGCAAGAGAGACAGCTGTCCAGGCTGACCATCAAATCCAGCTGCATGGCAACCATCAAATCTCGGACCGGCCCTACCCAGAGGACCATCAAATCTAAGTCCACCAGCTCCCTGGTGTACTGGTCCATCAATCAACCTAGGACCGACACCTGGCTGACCATGCGGTCCTTCCAATCTGAGCCCACCACCTGATGGTCCGTGTGGCCCCTCAAATCTGAGCCCACCACCTGATGGTCCATGTGGCCCCATAGGCTGACCATGTGGCCCCTCAAATCGGAGGCCACCTCCAGGTTGTCCATGGGGTCCCAATGGCTGTAAATGTGGCCCCTCAAACCTGAGGCCACCCCCTGGTTGACCATGAGGCCCCAAGGGCTGACCATGGGGTCCCTCAAACCTGAGACCACCCCCTGGTTGACCTCGAGGCCCCATAGGTTGACCATGAGGTCCCTCAAACCTGAGACCACCTGAAGGCTGGCCACGGGGACCCTCAAACCTGAGACCAACTCCAGGTCCTTCAAATCTGGGACCACCTACAGGCTGTCCTGCAGGCCCCTCAAACCGCAAAGGCCCTCCTATCTGCCCAAGAGGTCCCTCAAACCTCAGTGGACCTCCTCCACCAACCTGTCCTGGGGGTCCTTCAAACCTCAAAGCCCCTGCCAGCTGCCCTGGTGGCCCATCAAATCTTAGGGCTCCAGCTCCCCCTGCTCCTGCCAGTGGTCCATCAAACTGAGATGCACCTGCCGCCACCAAAGGCCCCTCAAATCTCATGGCGGCCTGTCCAGCTGGCCCATCAATTCTGGAACTTGAACCAGCAGCAGGACCATCAACAAAAGGACTTCCTTGTCCATCTACCCCAACCCTTGCAGTGGCCTGTCTCGGTGAGCCGTCAAACAGAGGTCTGTCTTCCATTAGTGCACTTATCCTCTGCTTTGCTTCAATGCCTCCAAATCTTGATCCTGGACTTTCTGGAAACGGTGCTTTCTCTGGATCTTCATACCTAGCTCTTTTGAAACGGTCGCTGAACGGTGATCTTGGTTCCTCTCGAACACCTAACACAACCAGAACAAAACAGATAAGTAATCGGCAACGTTTTAGTGAGTGGTTAACAGCTGTAAAATAAAGCAGAAGCACATACCAGCTTGCCCAAGAAGCTGTCTCTCTTCACGATTATCAAATCTGCAGATTGCATCACCATCTATCTTTTGGAACTCTGTTGTGCTCTTCCCCTGTTGTCTGAGAGCATCTCTAAACTCATCCGATTCTCCCCAGCTGTCATAAGGATCGAAGTTCTTAGAACCTCTTGCTCCCTTAGTAGCATTTTGTTCCTCAAGTCTTCGTCGACTCTCAAGCGGTGAAAGGTTATCGGCAAAAGGTCTATTAGTGCCACTTACAGGAGAGTGTCTCCTTGATCTTTCTCCAAATGGTTCTTTTCTGTCAAACTGTACTCCACGCTTGGCTTTTGCTTGTTCGCATTCTATACCAGAAAGCAATGCATCAGGCAAATGATAATCCAAAATATCATCAGGATCCAACAGATCAAGCCTCGACAATGAATGCTGAACTTGTGTTCTTTTTAGTTTAGCCTTATGTTCATAATATGTTAATTCTGCATCTGATAGAAGAGGTTTCTTTTTCAAACCACATTTTTCCTCTGTAGGGCTATCCCAGACATTACATCTGTGTTTTCCTTCCTGATACTGGAATAGCTGTCGGATCTGATGAGCTACCATGAGGAACTCATCTTGTGTTATTTCACCGGATGTTAAGCGTTCATTAGCCTGGAATACAAAGTTAAAGTTTAGGCTTCTAAAAAGAAAAGAAAACTATACCCAGGACACTTCTATGAAGACAGATTTATCAATATTACCTTCTTAAGTAATTCTCTCTTGCTTGCAGATGTCAATTCTTTGGGAATCTGTAAATTAGCATCCACACTTAACCGGTGCTGCTGCTTTGGTGCTCGGGGTGATAAAATTCCCTTACCAGCAGGCCAGTTTTCCCGGTGTCTTTGGTGAGGGGATTTACCAAGTGCTTGGTGTTCTTCATTCTGCTGTGAGCTGAAAGGAAGAACACATTGAAAATAAGAGATTACTTCTTTATTTAGGACATAACTGTTACATCCCTATTAGGATTGACCATGGCAAAACATCACTATCACCTTAGAATCGAAGTATGCATGATTTCCATATCTCACTAGTAGAAGTAAGTTAAAACTTATAAATTTTAACAATCTGAACATTGCCTCCCAAAGCTGACTGAAGTCAGCAGCAGAATTTCCACTGACTTCAAACAGAAGTTGTTTAAAAGATAGTAACTTACTTTTTATTTTCTTCCCAACCAGATTTCCACCTCTTGCCTGATTTGGATCCTTGCCAGTTTTCTGCATTCTCCTTTGGATCAGGAGAAGCTTTTGTAGAATGCTGGCTTGCTGTTTCTTGGGGCCTGTCTTCTTGGGCTTTTTTCACCCTCCTTGGATCTCGCACCTCTTGTTTAACATTTCTCTTATTGGAATTTCTTTCATCTCTTGCTGCTTGCGTGCCTTCCTCAACATGAGACTGCTTAGGGCCGATCTGACGTATCTTTGCAATTTTAGGAGCTGATGAAGTGGGAGATAAACTCCTAAGTCTTCTTTTGGGTGATCTCCTCTCTCGTCTTTTTGGAGAATGTGTAGATGGTGACCGTGCCTTAGGAGAGCGTGATCGTGACCGTTTTCTACTACTTGATCTCCCCTGTTTTCCACTCTGTTTTTCAGACTCCTCTGTAGTCGTGTCTTGCTTCTGAACAGCACCATTAATTACTTTATTTCTGCTGCCTACTGGTCTGTGTTCACACGTCTTATGTTCCTCTTTTTCTTTTTTCTCTGTACTTCTCCTCTTTTCTTTCACCTCCTCCTCTTTGCCCTCTGACTTATCTTGAAGATGTCTTTTCAGTCTTGGATCCCGCTTACTAATTTCAGATACTTTTGTGCTTTCACATTCCTGGGTTTTAGTATCTTTAGTATTGGGTAGCTTATTTTTTAAAGGGGATGGTGATTTAGATTTTGCTTCTGACTGGTCAAGTTCTTTCTTCTGTGTTTTTTCACTTGCTTTCAATTTCTCTTGCTTTGTTGAGTTTTGTTTTTCAGCCTGTGTTGTTTTGTTTGCCTTGGTATCAGACTGACTGGTTGTGTTTGGTGGAAATTCTTTCCTATGAGATTGATCTTTAGCATGAGAAGAATGTTGAGCCATCCTATTCAGTCGAGGATCCCTATTTACTATTTTGACATCATGAAGTGGAGAACTTGGGGATGGTTTGTTTTTTTCAGATTGCACAGCTGTCTGATGAGGTGGTTTAACTGTCATGAGAGGTGTGGGAGACAGATGTTGCTTGGAAGGCGCTGGAACTGAAGCTATAGTAGATGATCCTTGCTGAACACTAAGAGATACAGCCTGAAATAGCAAAAAAGCCACTATTAATCTGCATGGTAACTCCTACCCAGAGATGATCGTGTTTTGGCTCGAAACCAAAACTCTAAATAGAAATGTCTTCAAAGTGTTGAGATTCAGCCATTTAACTGAAAATGACCCATCAATTGCTAATCACAAGCGTTAAAATAATGGTGTACCATTACAAAAGATCAAATTAAAATATAACGCAAAATCAGTACAATAAAATCAATACTGCAAAATATGTAACTTCGGCACATGTTCTCATTACAGCGTTTTTTCTATATATTCCACACGCTCAAGGCAACTAAGCTGCCAAGTATCTGATACATATTTCGTATTTCTACACTTCAAAAATCCTTTGTTTTGGTATCATCTAGTTTTGGTATCAACATAGCAAGACTTTCAATTACGCACTAGAACAATACAGCTTAACTGCCACTTGCAGATGGTGGCATCAAACCAACCTGACCTCATGAGGATGCTGACTTTATTTCCAATGATGAGACTTTCTTGTTCTCTAAGAGTAAATTTATTTGAAAAAGCCTGGCTTGCTGTAAGCCGTAAGAAGAGGTAGAAGATGAGGATCATTTTGGAGAGAAGTTAAAAACAAAAACCTATGAACTTCACTTTTTTTTACCTCTGAGTATAATTCTTAAGGTTTTCAGGTCACAAATGCTGTTTGAGGAACCAGAGATGAACTTGTATTGCTCTAGTCCTAAAATAGCTACACTTGCCTAACATGAGGAAAAAATCATGTACTGCAGTTATCAGCATAGCTAAGTAACATCCAAAAGAAAGAAGACCCAACTATAAAAGTTTCATTAACTATCCTACTCACCAACTGTGCTTTAGTCTGTTCCAGCTCCAGCTCTAATTTTTTTTGCTGAAGTTCTAACAACTGCTTTTGCTTTGCAAGCAACTGCTGCCTTATCAGTTGCTCCTGTGTCAAATTCTTTTGTATTTCAGGAACAACTGGAGGAGTAGAGGCACCAGAAGTGACAGCAGAGGTAGGTGCAGTAGATTCCTCTGGCTAAAAACAGAATAAAAAAAGTTACATTTAAATTCCTGATGGAATCAACTAGCTCCATCTCCTTTAACTGTTACATGATCCAGTACTGGGAACTTAGTTTGTACAGCAGTTATAAATTCCATTTTTAATGCAAAATGTAACACAAATTTAAAACTTTTGCCCCACTAGAATTTGCGGGCTGTGACAGGTGTACGTCATTTAATATAAATTCATCAGTGTTCCAAATTCTAGAATACAGTTTTGAAACATAAAAACCAAATCCATCAAACAGTCAGAAATCAGAAATTCTTCTTACCTGTCTACAAAAGTCAGACACTTCATTCTTAATATACTAAATTGTCAAAAAGCAGCATACAAACAATGAAAACTACATGTATCACCATCTGTTCATACAGTAGGCATAAAAACTTACCGATTTATTTAAAAATTTAGGATTCACATGGATGCTAGAAGTATTCACATTTGGGGGCAGAGGTTTAATTGGCCAAGCAGGATCTAATGAGTTGACTCTGACATCAAGTGCATATAGTTTCTTCAAAGGAAAAATATCATCCCATGTGGAGCGTAATTTAAATAAACTTTTCCTAGTATTTTCATCCACCTAAAACAATAAAACAATTCTATGGCTTGTTAAGTTAATATAAAACGATTTCTTATAACTTTTCTGTAGAACTTAAGATTTCATTTATTTCCTATTTCTATCAACATTTTAAGACTGGCTATACAGAATTTATAAGCAGTGCAGATCATACATCTATACCAACGGAATCAGTAACAGAAGTTCAAATGTGGAATTGTTGTTTCAAGGTCATTTGAAGGTTTTATTGTGTATTACCATTCTCTGAGAATTTTCTTTCAACTTTTCCATTACCAAAATTCTCATTTTACTTGCCAAATTTCTGTGGAAAAAATACAGTAACAAAAATATTGAAAGGCAACAGCCTCTGACACAATACATTATTCAAGCATTTGTGCTGAATGGTGTATAACAATGACAAACAAATCAGGAAACAACAAACTTTGTGAACAGAAAAGGTGTTTTGCTCAGCTGTTTAGTCACTGAAGGGGTTTTTTTTCCAACAAATGCAACAAAAGGGGTATTAGCTAAAATGACCTCAATTATATTTCAGTTCAGCTGCAAATTTAGACCCATCTGTGAGCCACAGATCAAGCGCACTTGTAGGACCAGTGCTATTTTCTCTCTTCACAAACAACTAGTTTGGGATTATCTCATGACAGGTAAGTGAGAAATTTACAGTAAAGTAAAATTTAGTTAATCTCATAACTTGAGTAGTTCAATTAGTAAACGAAAAACATTTGAATTAATGAATGAAAAACATTTGAGGATAAAATACATGCAGCTGTCCTAAGGTCAGTACCTCAATTCAATCATCAAGTATTGACTACGTAGATGGGTTTTGCTGCAGTTTTAAGACGTTACAGCAAGACACAGAATAGTCTGTAAAGAGGTTCTTTCAAGGAGCAGCAGGAACTTCAACAAAAATAATTCATAATTAGCTACTAGGGGCATGCCTCAATACAATTTTCAATGAGAGGGTATGAAGTTCACTGCAAAAAGTGCAGAAATGACTGAGCAAAAGTTTCTGACTTCATCAAGTGTCTGAAGACACCTTAGTGACCATTTACCGATAAAACAAAATTTGTAACAATGTCAGTGCTGGAATTCTACTTGCATCTTTTAACACGACCAATTAAGCTATTAGAAATGACTGCCACTTTACACATTTAATTAATACACATTAATTAAATGGTTCTGGTTAGCTCAGTGAACCTATAAAACTCTGAAAATTAATTATCCAGAGCTTCAGCTGCAACATTAAATGCAACTCAGTAAAAGAACACTCACAATTTAATACTGAGAAAACAAGTGTCTACCTACCTATCTACTCTACACACAGGAGTTTAAGTGTTCTATGGCCATTACTACAATCTATTCCTTATTTCAACATGCATTTTACATCTGAAAACCATATATAAAGCATACTGGGATCTCAGATCCTCGCTGATATGTAATGATAGATAAATACACAAAAGGTCCATTCATCTCATTCATGTGAGATGCCACTTTCTTAGAGGTTACAGGAAACCACGGAAGTTAACCCTTCATTTCTGTTCCAACTTAAACCCATTCAAGTCCAGCCTTTCAAAAATGGGACTTTGATTTGCCTTTCTCACTAAGGAATAAGCACAACTACTTCACTGGGTTTAAAGATTAAGAGCAAAAATTAAAAGATATGGCAGCAGTTTTCAATGTTGAATCAAATTAAACCACATATTTATAATGTAATATAGCAATACATTCTAAGACCCTTTCCCCCCTAGCATTTTTTTCAAATCACACACCATCAGGAGAGAATCAGGTCTCAGTGCTATTCACTCTTCACAGTTCAAGCACTCATTTTGCACGTCACGAACTAAGTAAATCAGACAAATTAACTGCAGGAGAGAGAAGCTCTGAGAAATCCACAAGAAACTGATTCTCAGTGTATTCTTGGCATAAAGACCATTTACGATCTTAAAAATAAACCAACAATTCATAATTAATTGGTCTATACATTACAAAAAGTCCATCCAGGTAGGCAATCGGTAATCAAAATATAGTTAGTAAAATCTTGCCTGGATAGGAAAATAACAGGTATTTATGAACCAAATTAAGACAGACACTGCATCTTTCAGCTAACATGTAATTTACATGCTTGATAGCAGCAAAAAAAAATCTTCCACAGTAAAGATACAGTACTGAGATTTATAAAAAACGATTTGTATAGTTCATCTCCCAAGAAAACCCAAAACTGAAAACATGTATTTATTTTACCAGGAACAAATTTTGCTTAGAATACAGAACTTTTCTGAAAGTGTATATACCTTTTCAAATACACAAATAAATGTTGCAACTAGGTTTTTAGTAAATGCAGTAAGATATTCTCTTCCCACATTCTTGACAATGGAATCCATAAGGTACATAACAGGGAGCTTCTCTGATGCAGGAGCCTGGAGTAATAAGAAGAAACTGAGAAGTTTAGTACAACAAAAACATATTTTAAGCTTTTTAAATAAGGGGATTACCAATCCCAGAAATACAGACCTCTCTTTTGGTTGCCACTATAAACACCAAGGGATTTGGCTTGGGAATTTTTTGTTTATACAAAAACTTAATCTGGAAAATCAATACTCAGTTCAAAGTATAACGCAGTGGGTCTATCACACAAAAAAGGAACACCTTAGGTTATTTTCTTTGCTTATCAAAGCTTTGGAAAAAAGGAAAAAAAAAAAAAAGAAGAAAAAAGAAGCCCACAGGACAGTATTGCCGCTAGTGCACTGAGTGTAACCTTTCAAAACCCGCTTGAGAAAGTAACTTTTAAGTTAGCAGGAAACCATCGTTAGCACTTCAAGGAACTTCTAAAAATAGTTTATAATTCAAACCTCCTGAACGTTTGCTTTTCTGGATTTCACAGAACAGAGACTTCTGGCAAATAGCCCAAATTAGAGAACTTCTGTAGCCGCAGATTACAGGTCGAGTATCAGTCTTTTCATAAACTACACGCAGAATAGGTCACAACTATTTCATTGTAATCCAAACGGACGGAGCAAGAAGTCCCATTCTCGGCACTTGTAGGTAGTGACAGTTCAGATTTCCAGAGTGCATGCAAAAATGCACAGTCAGAACAAAGTTCAAAATCCAGACAAAACTCAATCATCTAGTCGACCGGGTAAATGCACAGACAAGCTCAGGAACTGCAACCACGGTTTTCACAGAAGGGAGTCTTCAAACTTGGGACACATCTTTGCTACAAGAGGAGGCTTGGTTTTTGTTGTTTGGTTTTGTTTTTTTAAATCCATTTTCAAAACTTGTAGCAAGTTTGTGTAAGAGAAGTGTGGTGACGCTGGACCGCTACAGCAACTTCTAATGTACACAAAGCACTACTGGCCCAAATCAAGGTGATTTTAATGCCCACCACTGGCTTTCACAAAGCAGAAGGCACAGAAAAGTTCCAGAAAACATCAGCAAGTACACAGACTTGTTGAAGAGGACAACATGAAAGACACCACCACAAGCCATGTGTTGACCGCGATCCCCTTAGAAGAGCAGCCACTTGTAGTAAGTCCCATTCACCATCCGGTAAGCTCAGGATAAAACCAGAATAACTTCGCTCGCCACTCATTTTAAACAGGATAGGCTACCAAGTTAATTAATGACACCTTACTTCGCAGCCTCATTGTCCAGGTAAGTGTGTGGAAGTGCTCTTGCTTTACAATTTTAGATTTAATTCCTTCCCCTTTAAGGTGGTTCGCAGAAGGGAACCGAGTCAGCAATACTTTTATATGGGTGAATCACAATGTTTCCTCGCCCTTAAATGTGTACTAATTTATCATGACCTGAAACTTAATATTGAAGAGGGCAGAATTCCTTGTTAGTTGAGGGCTGGGCTGGGTTGGGGCGGGGGGGAGTTGGGGGCTGGGCTGGGTTGGGGCAGGGGGGGGGGGAGGTATCACTGCCTTTGAGCATACTGAAAAAGGTAAAACAGACAGGTAGTGTATTTTGGAGATAAAAAGACAGAAAAATGCCGTTAAATTAGCTAAAACTAACTGCAGCACATTAAAAGCCTATCTTACACTATGACATAATACTGAGCTTTAAGCAAGCTAATATGCAACAATGTTAGAATAAAAGCACCTCTCTAGCCTCAGGAATCAAAGGCTCTGAGTCTACAGCTACTTAATATTAAAATATGGAATACTGGTTTCTTCTTTAAAGCAGTCTGCAAAATGGCACATTATAAACACTAAGTTCCGAATGTCTGCCTCTATAGAAAAAATGACAGTGCATCATTTCTGACTTTTAAAGTCAGCTGTCAGGGAAACAAAGAGCTGTCTCAGAACTATCTATGCCCAAGAGCTACTGACATAGTATGTTATATTCTTCCATTTCACCAATGTATGGTAGCTCACTATACTCAGCTTCCAGTTTGAGACACTGGGGAATCAATTTAGTAGTGAAGGCAGTGTAACAAGTTTAACTGTCACTTTAATTATGCATCAGACTGTTAAAAGTAATCATACATGGAAGCACCGTAATCTAGTAAGGAAGCCTACTTCAAACTATAGCACAGAATTAGAAGCTTAGCAGCATACCCTGCTTCAAACATAAGCTACTCAGGTGTCACATTTTAAGAACAATGACTTAAATATGGTTGGAATATTTAAGTCTTCTCTTCTGGAAATGTTTATTATGTCAAGGTATCTAGCGCATATTCCAATAACCAGAAAAGGGAATCCCAAACTTGAATGTATCTTGTTTTCAGGCAGTCTATACAGTATCCCCTAGCAAGAAAGATGCCCACATGACACTAACCAAAAGGCAGGGAGGCGACGCATAATCACCAGAACACAAAACACTAACTCTGAACTCATCAGCATAATGTTAAAGACTTCATTACAGAATTCCCACTGTTCCTTCAAATAATGTAGGAAAGCTATTGTTGGAAATGTGTGGCTTTTTTTATTAGTTTCCTAAAAGATTTCAAGTTTAAAGTCATATCTGGCAATCAAAACCCAAGTCACAAACTTGTGAAAAAAAAAAGTTTAAAAAAACCAACCTTGTATATACAAAATGGGTCTTGGAAACAAATTCTGCACTATACAATGGTAAATAAAAAGACAAATACATATTTCACACTTTTTATTTACAAATATTATAATACCAGTCACACATTTCAGAACCATTTATTAAATCGTAAAGCAGACCACTCAAGTTTTACACTAAACAAACTGTCTCCAGGCAACACTTTTTAAAAGTGGCTTAGTAAAGGAGATCACTTTCCCAGAAACAGCTAAAAACTTGCCTTGAATAAACCACAGTCACAAACAGTAACTAGGCAAAACTAACCATTGATACAAGATTTAAGACATCTTTAAAAAAAAGACACACTTCAGGGCAGGCTCTAAATCACCCAGAAATGAGAAAAAAAATAAATTTGACAGCATTGATATTTATCACAAATCATTTTATACACATCCACTGCCCTTTAGGAGATATAATGGTGAGATCTATTAAGATTATGAGGTCACCTCCCCAAGGAATGGCAAAACTCAGCCACTGGCAGCATTTAAAACTAGACTGGAAGAGGTCTGTGGAACACTAAAAAGCAATCCTGCATTGATAGAAAGATAGATTAAATAACTTAAGAGATCCTTCCCTCCCCATCACGAGATAGTACAATTCTCACCATTATAAACCACGATTTAAAGCCAAAGGAAAAAAAGCCTTTGAACACCTGAGATCAGAGGGAGCAAGGGAAACAACGGGGGAGGGGGTGACTGGCACAAATGGGGAGGGGGGAGATTGAAACAAGAACCCTTTTCTTACAAAATGCTCTTGTTAAAAAGGTGCTGTAAACCCCCATCCATGTGCTGTGGCTGACTGATGTCAGCAACTGCCTGGGTTGGGCTCAGAGGGAACCTCCTCTTT